TCTCCATCTCTCTATCTATGAACCTATCTATCTACCTATCTTTCTTTCTTCCAACTCATCAATCTATCTATCTATCTGTCTGTCTGTCTGTCTGTCTGTTTGTCTGTCTGTCTGTCTGTCTGTCTGTCCGTCTGTCTCTCTGTTTTTCTGTCATTTGTGTCTCGCTGTCTGTCTGTCTGTCTGTCTGTCTGTCCGCTGTCTGTCTGTCTGTCTGTCTGTCTGTCTGTCTGTCTGTCTGTCTGTTTCTCGCTCTCTCTCTCTCTCGCTCTCTCTGGTTCTCGTTCTGATTGGGGAGTGAATTGGAGACTCAGTTGTGTTTAAAGACTGTGGTGGTGCTGGCTGTTTTTGCACCCCGTGCTTTGCCGATTGGTGGAGTGCAGGTCGTCATCCCTCACGGACAGTTCACACAAGGTCGGCTGACTCGGCCAGGTGCAGTGCAGAACATTTCGGTGTGGTCCTTTCCCGGAACCAGGCCTGAGCTTCCAGAACTGCTCCATCATGCTGCAGGTTTTAGGTCATGGAAGGTGCGCTTTCTGTGTGCCAGTGGATGAAGCAAGGGTGCTTGTTTCTGCACTTGCAGGCTCCGAATCAGCGAGAGAAGCTCTTCCAACGAGGCAGGTGTCGAGCAGCCTCTGGTAGAGCACCGTCAGAGATGCGAAGTGAATTCGGTGCGGGGGACATCGAGGGACCAGAGATAAAGTTTCGGGGCAGGGAGCAGCAGCGTCTTTTTCTTGTCCAGCGGCCTGCGATCAGATGATTTGACTTTACGCCAACTGTGGATGCATTTCGTGGGCAATTGGGGCAGTTGTTTCTTCCTGCTCTATCTCTGCCCTTGCTGTTTTGGGAAAGTGCAGCATACGCATGTGCAGCGGCATTGCTTCCTTGAAAGCCTCTCCCAATTATATGCGCGGAAGGCAAGCTCATTTCGCCAGCCGCACAACATCGATGTCCTTTTCTTCTTGAAACTGAAACCGAAACCTTTGATCTGGAGCGACTGGGTGAGATTTTTAATGTCGACAAGACGGAGTCGCTACGAAGCAGATACCAGCACACAAGCTGAGGGCACACTTCAGTCTTTGTGCCGAGATGTCAGCTTCCCACGTCCGTTAATTTGCAGTTTCACTCCCAAGCCGACCGAATAAGTCAGGGGGGTGTTGTTCGGCTTGGCACGGTGTGACGGTCAGGCTCAGATTTCTGATCAGCTTCGACAAGACCTTGCAGAGGCTTTCGAACTAGGCAGGGTGTCGAGGTGTCACGGCTTCGTGTCTTCCCGCTAATATTCCTATCTGCCAAAGGTGGGATGACTTGCGTCTTGGCATTGCACCTAGCAGGCAGACGTAGCACCTGGGACTGAGCAGGGACATCATGCTTGGCAGTGGTGAATATTGGAAGTCCAAGGTCAACTACACTCGCTTGGGGGGTGGCCACTGGAGCCCGGTAGGAGGTAGGAGGCCTCAGATGCTGCCTCAGACAGGTCTTCTTATGGAGGTGTTCGGTCTATATGGGTGCACCAGCAGGTTGGAGCGCCGGCCATGTCCTCATCCTGGACACCAACGACACGCGACTACCCCCGCACTGGGCTGGGAGCTTTGAAACGTGGAATGCCTTGTGGGCCGTTGCGGGCGATCCACGCTCCACTTTGGCAGGTCAAAATTGAAACGTTGACAAAGTCAATGTGCGCCGAGCTCAGTGTTGCCTCCTGTTACGGAGTGACAGCCTATGGGACACGGTGAGGCAGCCTCAACCGAGCAACGGGGAAACCACGCGGGCTGCTACCTTACAGCTGAAGGTCCTCGCACAGTTTCGGGTGCTGTCACGAGTGCTTGCAAAACTGACTGCCAAGGTACTTACTTCTGCGCAGGGGGGAGGCGGGTGCAGCACTGTTGACAGCATTTCAAAATACTGTGCTGATATTCCGTTCGAGGCTGACAGCGCGTGAGCCCGCCCGAAACTCCTTGCCAGGCAAGCCACACTGTACAGGTGCTTGCAGCAAAGCTGTGCAAAAGGCTAGATGGATGCGGCAGGAGGCAGCCACAGAACCTCAGCGCAGAATGCAGAATGGCATGTATCCGGTCAGCAGGATCTGTGCCATGACATGTCATGTGCATGAGCAATGGGGCGGGAGCAGAAACGGCGGCAGGAAGCGCAGGGACCTTACTTGTAGCTTTCGTCATCGAAGCTTTGCTGACGTTTCCACAGGCGGACACAAGGGAACTAAAGGTTTCGTCTGAGCCGCCCTCAAAAGGCGAAGAGTCAAGCAGCTTCTTGAGCGAGGCCAAGTGGATCGCAGGCTGAGGGCAGGGTAGTCACAGGTTTTCGATACTTTAGACTGGGGATGGCGGATGATCGGCTGATGGGGGTGTTGTGCCTCTGAAGGTTGCTGACGGCGGAGGAGGCACAGAAGTTGTTTCTATGTATTGACAGAGGCGAGGTCCAGCAGTTCGGGATTGCTGCTTTGGCTGCTATAGAACTTAACGGACATTACGAAGCCCCTTGGTGCTGTGGTGTGCCCAAGATGTCTTTGCTGGACTTTGCAGCTTGGCGTGGCCGGGACAGTTTCGTTTCTGCTTTGGTGGCTGCCAATGCTGACCCAACGGAGAAAGCCCTCGACGACGCGGCCACCATCATGGCAAAGCTACCCAGGTCGTATGTCGCTTGGCTGGCGCGTGCCGCCGCCCAGTCCAGGCATCGAGCTGGCCAAGCTGCGTCGTCGAATGTGCATCCGTCTGGTGCGAACTGCATCTGCAAAGACGGCAATTCGCAGTTCGCGTCTCTGTGGATATTTTCGCCCTGTGCGCACCGCTGTTGTCCTCTGTGTCCTTGGCGCGGCTTTCGCGGGTTTGGCTATGGACAAGTGCCGGAACTGCTGTGTCCTGTTTGCGGTGTATCGTTTCAGGATCCTGCTTTGAGTTTCGTGGGACAGCGCCGGGGCATCATCAGGCACGGTCCTGCTGGTCCTCTTGCTGAACATGTCCCTTGCAAGACTTGCGGCTGTCTCAATGCACCTGGGTCGTGCTACTGCATCAACTGCAGCTTCGCGGTGGGTCAAGTGTCCTCCTTCACCCAGGAGCCAGAAGCAAAGCTGCAGAGTTTGGGTTTTTTCTTGCCAGATTGGCTAAGAACACATGGGCAGAAGGCACTGCGACGGCGGCGAACTCTCAAGAAATGGCAGGCATTGCCGGAAGAAATACCAGAAGATATGGAAGAACGCTTTGAACTGCAAGCTGCTCTGGAGGCCAGCAGGCCAAAGCATGGAAATGCTGGAAGTTCGGAGTTTTGCCTTCCAGCATTTTCTGCAATCTGCGCACTCTGCACACCCCTCTGCACACCCTTGAGGCCCTTGCTCCAAAGCCTGGGTTGCAGAGACGGGTCTCTGCATTCGGCTAAGGTGGCGAAGGCTAAGCCAAAACGGCTCGCCGGCGCCTTCCGTGCTCTGAGTCCCAGCGAAGTGGCTGCGGAAAAGCTGGGCGTCACACGGAAGAACCGCTCCGAGCGCTTCCGAGCAGCGGCCGAAGTCGGAGATTTTCGACGAGTCCAAGCAATGCTGGATGCCGGAGTGGACATCGATTCGCCCAACGAGTATGGTCAGACGCCCCTCTTTTTGGCAGCCTTCGAAGGGCATCGAGACTTGGTTCAGGCCAGGTTTCCGGTTCAAGCCCTTTGCTTGAAATGAGTTCGACCTTGCCAGTTGCTTCTTTCCTGGGGCGCTGATCCGACCAAGCGCTGCCATGGTGGCGGCCTTCCGGCTCTCGCTCCCTCAGCCTCAGCCCTTCGGATGCGGTCGCCCAGGCCGGTCACCTGTCGCTGTGGACTTCCAAGAGAGGTTCAGTGGGCGCAGCCTCAGGTGTGACCCGGTCTTTCCGGTGAGACTGCCGTTGCCAGAGCACGTGGCTCATCTCGGAGCCCTACACGTGGCGGCCTTGATCTGCCTTGTGATGGGGTCTCTGCAGCACCGTGCAGCCGTGCAGAGGTCGACAGCTTTTTCGAGGAATGCTTTCTGACATGGCTCCAGGACACAAGCCGAAAGTTGAATTGAAAGCCACGCAAGTTAGAGTCTGAAAGGAGCTCTGGAAGTCCCTTCCGCCTGCTCCTTTCGCACACGAGGTTGGAGCCTCTGAAAGTCAGTTCGGATCCCACCCGGGCATACCAGCTTGGCCTGTGCTCCCTGTGCTCCCTGCGCTGAGGGCGATGCACCCGATGAACCTCTAGCTGAGGACTCATGGGCGTATGCGGCAAAGCCACAAGTGTGCCATGGAATGACATCCCGTGACATTCCGGCAGTGTGACCTTCGCAAGGAATCTCAGCACCAGAAAATGCCGTCACCCACCCAGAGCACGGGGTCAGCCAGCATGGACATTGTGTGGATCAGAGCCTGAGGTGCTCCCGTTCAAAGGCTCGAGGCCGTGGAGTGGACCGAAGCCGTCAAGACGCTGCACCGCAAAGAAGCTACTACTTCGACGCAGATGGCCTCGTGACATCGCAGCTTGCGGCAGCAGTGGAGTGCGCTGGTTTAGAGGCGGTACCACAGATGCGCTTCCTGCACTATGCCAGAGCCGGGGGCTCCTTGCCACCGCACACGGATCTTTCGAGGCAGGGGCCCTCTTCTGCTCTCGCTCTCGCTTCCAAGCCCAAAGTGTCCTAATGTCGCTGAACGTGCACAACCAAGTCGCTTGATGCTCTCGGCGTAGCTGGTTTCTTTGTACGGTATCTGACGTATCTGACATGCCATCCACATGGTTGCAGTATTTCAGGTATGACTCATGCAGAGCTCCAGACATGACAGTGCATCCGAAAGGTAAGCTGAGCTTCATGCTGGATGCGCGAGCTTCAGACTTTCTCTGTTCAGGCGTGATTGGCGCACCGGGCAGCGAACGAGCCATACCTTCATTTTATACCTTGAGGGGGCTGTGGAGGAGGGAGGTGGCGAAACAGTCCTGCTGGAGAGTCTGTCCGGTGGCCCTCTCGCCGAAGCAAGAGCCTCAGATGCAACCAACATAAGCCGATGGACGGCATGAAACCTAAGGTGAGCCCTGTTCGTGGAAGGCTGCTAATCTTTCCCCACGACTGTGCGCACAAGGCTCTTGCGTGGGTGTGCCTCTGCCTGCCTCATGACACGTGAGACGATCTCGAAGGCAATGCCTGTCGTGCAGCCAAAGCTCCTGCTTCGGGGCGAGATGAGAGAAAAACACATGTTCGGTTTGTTGATGCTTTGCTGTTAGTCTACTTTGGTGTTGGTTTTACTGCTACCACGTACTGCCTGGCTGAATGATCGCAGGTCTGATGCAAGCTGCAGGAAATCTCGAGTTCAGCCAAAGGAGCTTTCCAAAACCTACGCAAATATGGCCATGTTCTGGAAGAGGCATGCAGTCAAGATGCTTCAGTTGCGACGCAGACTAGCACGACTCCCAAAATCTTGGAAAAGCCGGAAAACATGTGTAGGCATCGAGGCATCCTTATGGATGCTCCATGTCGCAGGAAGATCAAGACATCAATATAAGAACATCGTCTCAACATTCAGCTGCTGCTGCTTGCTGTCGCCATGCCCCGTGGACCGGGAAAGAGGATCATCACGGAAGCCGGTGTGAGCTGGTTTGCTTTGGTCTGCCCATTCTGCAGGAGCAATTACAATTTGGACTACTCGCGTGCAAACCCTTAGCTCAGCTCTGATTTCAGAAAGGGCGTGGCACAGACCATCGTCCTAGGTTTCAATGGCCTCGAAAATCAAGACCAGGCAGAGGAGACGAACCTGTAGCCAGTGAAAGTCCGAAGAAACATCTTGCTTCCGGCCTCCCGCTGCAGGAACGATGCGTCGACGAGGCAAAACCATTCACACCGACATCCTCGATATTTTTTACAACTCGGAAGACCATTACGGATCAACTTCAGGCTTCAACCGACGGAGCGGAAGACTTTGCGGCATCCTGGCTGCAGCCGACGTTCCTTCGCCCTGTGCACCTTGCCCTCCACAAGCCCTTCCCGCAAGCTTCCGCCGCGTGAGGTCGCGCTCCGCAACATGCCGTGCTCCCGCCAAGAGTGATGTCCCGCAATCGCGCTCGCAGAGCATTTGCCGCAGCAGAGGCCGGAGCTTCAAGAAGCCTACCGGCTCACCATGATCAGCGAGAAGCCCAGTGCGGCGAAACTGTCGGCTTCACAGATTGAAGCCCCCCTGACATGCCAGTACAAAGCCTAAGGCCGTTCAACTGGTGATGAAGCTGCTCAGAAGAGAGCGAACGAACTCGTCCTTCAGGTGCCAGTGTTCCTGGCTCTTGCGTTACCTTGTTCGTGCGGGAAGTTCAAAAGACTGAGAACTTACGCAGGCAGTCGACAAAGGAGGCTGGTATTAGGCATTTCATCGGGTACATTCAGTGACTTTGACTCCTTGTCTTCTCCCCTTTCAGGTCCGCAAGTGCGCGAAACATTCATGAAGGAGATTTCGGGACATTTGCCAGAGGTGGAGCAGTATCCGCATGCTGTCCAGCAGCTCAATCGAAAATAAGTGCGTGGTTTTTCGTGCAGCCTACATCAGGGGACGCTCCGAGGGATGGACGACTCGCAGTTGCCTCAGAACTCGCTGTGTTGGTGGCTGGCTTGGGCATTTACTGACACTTGCTGGAGGACAGCAAGAATCATGTCGAGGGGCACTTTTTTTGATCGAGTTCTGCATCAAGGAATTTGTCGAAGGCAATCTGTCTATTGTAGACTCTGTACAATTCAAGTAATGGTTCGTTGCGGCCAATGCACCCCTAAAGTCACGCAAACGTGAAAGCTCAGTCAGCATTCTGACCTGCATGCTCCTGCGACGCATACATGGCTTTGCCAGCTCCATCTGCAGTGAGCCTTGGAATCTAAGGGCCCAGGTTCTCCGGTGTGCATGGATCATGGGAGCCATGAGCTGAAACAAGGAAAGCAGGGTCAGGGTCGGCATGCTCTTCCACGTGCCCTCCGTATCCTTTCTCCTTCGCGCATGCTCCTGGCCAAGCTGACAAGCTGATGTCTGCGATCTGGCATGCTGATCTCTGCTGCAATGGTGGCACACATCGACCCAGGTTAGGGCACTCGGTCCAGACCATTGCTTGAGCCGAATCATCAGACCAGACACCATCGCAGGAGCTGTGAACTTCACTCCGCTTGGTAACTTTGTGTGCGCGTCACTTGTCTGTCTTGCCGGAAAGCAAGGAGGCCCACATGTCGAAGCTTCCAAGCACGAGCCTTGGGTGCTTGGAGGACCGGCGGCAGGGATCGTGCAGGCCTAACTAGAGCTGTTGCGAGTCGCTGTCGGAATGTGAACAGTATAGCCGTGCACTCGATCGGAAGCATGTTGGGTCGGGGAAGGGAGGTGATTTCTATGAAGAGAAATTAGTTGGGTAAGTTAAGTGGGAAGCTGGAAGACATGGGGCGCAAACGGACATTTTTGCCTAAAGAGTCAAAGCGCCAGTAAGATTTGGTTGGCTAGTTGCATTCGTCCGCTTGTCTGCGACACCCCTTATCACCTGGGGGCTCTGAAGCCGGCACAGTCACAAAGGAGCTGCGCTTGGTGCCGGGTGCGGGTGGATAGCTCGCTCAGCCAAGAGACGAGGCTCTGAAATTCAAAGGTGTAGTCCTGACTGCTGATGCTGTTGCCATTGCCTGTGCTGAGGAGTGCGAAGGGCGGCTCTTCCAGACTTGCTGCAGTCAACCTTGGGGAAACGGGACTGCATCCGAGATTACCTCTGTCCCATTGTCGTGTTCTTGTGCGAACGTGTGTCAGAAGATGGTGCATGTCGCAGGAGCTGAAGCGGGTGATCAGCTGGTCGCTGGCGCAGCGAGGTGCATCGTAGCTCTCGAAACGGCTTTTTGGCATGCCTGCAGTTGACCCACAGGACGACAGGAGACCAAGGACATGCTCGACAACATGAAGACGCTCGGCTTCTCCTGGGCAGGGGCCTTGTCCCGCGTTCTTGCACGTGTCCCATGCGCGCGCTGCGTAGCAGCCTTTGACTCTACCAGGCGACACGAGCCGGCATCTCATTAGGCGTCGACGCCGCTTGGACAGCTCTCAGACTCGTGGATTGCTGCAGAGCCGGGAGATAGAGCAGGGAAAGGCAGAGCCCAGGATATGAGCGTCCCAGCCGAAAAAGCTGCGCTTTGCGATGGCTCGCAGCAGCGTCAGCTGCAGGCGGAGGCCGGCAGAAGCCGTTTGATCGATCCTCGCTGTGCCGAGTTCACGTTCTGCAGGCGAAATATCGGAATGGAGAGATGACGGTCGTTGAGAAGTTCTTGAACGTCACAGAAGAATGGACGAGAACGAGCGAGCAAGTGAAGAACGAAGCAGTGTCCAACTTCAAGGATCCTCTCAATTGTGTCAGCTCGGGGCACGATGTGGTAAGTCGGCCGCGCCAGGAAAATGATCCCAATAATCCAGCCCATGGCCCAGCCTCGTTGAGCAGTGGCCAATCGAGAAGGAGCGACCTTGTCACCTGCCCTGGGTGAGGTCTACATGATGTCGACAAGTGGTGCGCGAGGAAACATTTCGCAGGTTCGACAGTTGGTGGCTATGCGTGGACTCATGGCAGATGCCAAAGGTGGCTTGGATTTGATTGGGCACATTGAGAGCCAGAGAGACAGCCCCCCCTCCGAAAATAATTGGCCCAGCGAAGACGGAGCGCCCGAAGACGACAGAACCGAGCTGATGCACCGCACCGTACCTGAGAGTCCGATGCCTAGTGGGGTCTACCTCTACCGCCACAACCCAATGCATGCGGTGCTTGAACAACTCACAACATTGCATCGATCAAGACATCATGGACGCTTTCGGGGTAGTCGATCCGCGCGACCAACTGCACAAGATCAAGTACATCTGCACGTGAACCGATGAGGGCACGAAACTACTACAGAGACTCGCTTCCTCCGCTTACCTCAATGATGTGCCTGTGGTGGGATTTTCACCATTGTTGGGGTCTCCAGCCACGTGCTGCACATGGCATATGCCTCCATTGCAGCATTGCAGAAGAGAGAGCCCCCATGACCATGACGTCACTGAATATGCCCGGAACTTTCTGGACAACTTGGTTACGGCTTTGGCTTGGGTTGGGCTCGCGAAAGAGGACATGTAGTAAGGGGAGGACCCCAGCACAAGAAGCTGAAGAGGGAGCACGACCTGCACCGAGAGCGTAACCCACCCGGGGACTACACTCTGGAATGGGCGAGGGGTCATGATTCCGCACAGCAAACACCATTGAAGAACTACAAATGAGTTGCACGTTGAGCAGCCTGTCGATGACGAGCCTTGCTTTGAGTGGAGCGTAGTCGGCGAGATTACCGTGGCTGCACTTTCCTTGTGTGCTCCTCCATACGATATATGGGGGACTCCTTGAGCGCAGGGGTGGGTTCCGCTCCGGAGAGAAAGAGATTTTTGGCTTATCTTCCCTCCTGCATCATAGCCCTGGCGAAAGAAAGAGATTTTTGGCTACGTAGCCATTTTGGCTCAAGTGAGTGCTCGAGAGACCAGCCCCTGCGTCCAGCTTTCCTAGATAGAGACTGCAGAGAGAGGGAAAGGGAGAAACGAAATGGCACCCGCAACAGGTGGGGGGGGGGGG